TAGGGTCCACCTGGCTATTAGTCTTCTCCTACCTCCCCATCAGAATATACCTGGAGGGTATTCCGGAGGTCAACGCCCCCGCGGCCCGGTCTATGACCAGGCATCGCAGTACATCAGGGCCTGATCAACCAGGCTGTTACTGTCGGCCTTACGCAAACCGGCGTACAAACCACAGCCCGGCTGGTCAGGTACTGACTTTAAGTACCCATCCAACTCCCTCTGGACAGCCAGGGGTCTATTGGTAGTTTCCCTTATGTATGCTGGGAGGCAGTTGAACAGTCTTGCACCCTTGATACTTATTGTGTTATCTTATATATACAAAGTGGTTAATGGAGTTTAAAGATAGCGACTACACGATGATCATTAAAGCTGCTCGTAACCTCTATATCACCAGTTAAAAATACTTTAACACTTTTTTAAGGGGAGTAAAATATCTTAGTGTATATACATCGAGAGGCAGGGTGAGAGAGTGGACCTAGTAGCGATCAGCGAAGAGGAAGGGCCAGGAGTTGTGACGTGACCCTGCAGCCGTATAGAGGCGAGTACACACATCACCATAAAAAAATGCAGTGATTCTTGTGCAATACATTTCAGTAAAGCAAAGGTCAACTCCTTATCACTTGACGCACATCCTGCAACACTTGTCCACACCTTGCAATATTACTACACATTCTCCAACACTACTTCACATTCTACAACACTACTGCACACCCTGCAACACTACTACACACCCTGCAACACTTCTACACACCCTGCAACACTCCTACAAACCCTGCAGCACTACTGCACATCCTGCAACACTATTGCACACCCTGCAACACTACTACACACCTTGCAACACTACTGCACACCCTACAACACTACTACACACCCTGAAACACTACTACACACCCTGCAACACTACTACACACCCTGCAACACTACTACACACCCTGCAACACTACCACACACCCTTCAGCACATCCTGAAACACTTGTCCACACCCTGCAATATTACTACACATTCTCCAACACTACTTCACATTCTACAACACTACTGCACACCCTGCAACACTACTACACACCCTGAAACACTACTACACACCCTGCAACACTTCTACACACCCTGCAACACTCCTACACACCCTGCAACACTACTGCACACCCTGCAACACTACTGCACACCCTGCAACACTACTACACACATTGCAACACTACTACACACCCTGCAACACTACTACACACCTTGCAACACTACTGCACACCCTGCAACTCTACTACACACCTCACAACACTACTGCACACCCTGCAACACTACTACACGCCTTGCAACACTACTACACACCTTGCAACACTACTGCACACCCTGCAACACTACTACACACGCTACAACACTACTACACACCTTGCAACACTATTACACGCCTTGCAACACTACTGCACACCCTGCAACACTACTACACACCTTGCAACACTACTACACACCCTGCAACACTACTACACACCCTATAACACTATTACACAACCCTTCAGCACATCCTGCAACACTTGTCCACACCCTGCAATATTACTACACATTCTCCAACACTACTTCACATTCTACAACACTACTGCACACCCTGCAACACTACTGCACACCCTGCAACACTACTACACACCTTGCAACTCTACTATACACCCTGCAACACTACTGCACACCCTGCAACACTACTACACACCCTGCAACACTACTACACACCCTGTAACACTATTACACACCCTTCAGCACATCCTGCAACACTTGTCCACACCCTGCAATATTACTACACATTCTCCAACACTACTTCACATTCTACAACACTACTGCACACCCTGCAACACTACTGCACACCCTGCAACACTACTACACACCTTGCAACTCTACTATACACCCTGCAACACTACTGCACACCCTGCAACACTACTACACACCCTGCAACACTACTACACACCCTTCAGCACATCCTGCAACACTTGTCCACACCCTGCAATATTACTACACATTCTCCAACACTACTTCACATTCTACAACACTCCTACACACCCTGCAACACTACTACACACCCTGCAACACTACTACACACCTTGCAACACTACTACACACCTTGCAGCACTACTACACACCTTGCAACACTAATACACACTCTGCAACACTAATACACACCCTGCAACACTACTACACACCTTGCAGCACTACTACACACCTTGCAACACTACTACACACCTTGCAGCACTACTACACACCTTGCAACACTACTACACACCTTGCAGCACTACTACACACCTTGCAACTCTACTGCACACCCTGCAACACTACTACACACCCTGCAATACTACTACACACCCTGCAGCACTACTACACACCCTGCAACACTACTACACACCTTGCAACACTACTACACACCCTGCAACACTACTACACACCTTGCAACACTAATACACACCCTGCAACACTAATACACACCCTGCAACACTACTACACACCCTTCAGCACTTCCACACACCTTTAAACACATCTACACATCCTCAAACATGCTTTCACATCTTTCAACACCTCCTCACATGCTCCAACACGTCCTTACATGCTCCAACACATCCACACATGCTCCAACACGTCCACACATGCTCCAGTACATCTCCCTCGCTGTAATGGAGTAGTCTATCGTCAATCACGCTCCATCTATCACCACCA